GCCCCACCATCTCAGCGTTCGTGAGCTACCTGGTACCTTGAGGTATCTAGAGAAAACATATAAAGCTGTGTCTGTCTGTATCATCTAATCTCTCCAAGCTGAATTGGAGGCTTCCAGTTTGATTCGGAGAGATTAATGGGTCTCCTGATTGGATTCGGATTTGGAGATTTGGCCGCCAAATTGGGCTGAATCGCTTTTGAATTGAATCGGTGACCGAAGCTTTGCGCAGCCCTACTAATTGCCTTGTACGTCCATTCTTACACATGGACTGGGTCTTTCAGCCAGACTATACCTCCTCACATGCTATGCAAACCTGACTGCAAGGATGCACCCCAATAGTTCAATGGTAAGGAAAGCTTGGGGTATTGAGGGTGGTAATCCATCTAGGGACCTGACCCACAGAAGTGAATGAGGTCGTGAGGCAGGGGTAGTGCTTCTGTGAGTTATTGTGGAAACTCTAATGTTCTCATATTAATGTTCATCAGACCCAGGAGAAAGCATTTAATTTATTTTCCCAAAAGAAAATTGAAAAATGTGAGTAAAAACAAATTTTCCTATAAAGATTTGATTTTGTAATAACTGTGTTATCAGTCCATATAGCTTCCCAACTAGCTTTTAAACCTGGAATGTGTAATATAAAAATCTGCAGTTTTTGCCAAAACTTTCTTTTAGAATATGCACACACTTTTCAGATAATTGTTGGGTTGCACATTTGTTGGCTATGAAAATATGGTATTGTTGCCCTTCTATGAAAATTCCCAACCGTTCTACCTAAATATTAGTGTAGGTTTATAAGAATCCAGGGAGGTTTTCAAATCTAATTATGGAATGGGAGGTGAATAATGTGGAAACAAGTTAATAATCTCCATGTAAGCGAGAATCGTTAAATGCCATGATAACCTCTTTCTCCTCAGAATTCTCTAAGATTATATTTTTTGAAAGTTAATAAAATTAGTGAGTGTGTAAGTCCTGATCCTTCATTGAAAATTGCATGGGCATAACCCTGACAAGAATTTCACTGAACTCAGTGGGGCTGTGGGTGGGGATGCAGCAGTGTATCTCTGTAAATTATGTTGCCAATCCTATCTGCTCCTGTGTTAGTAATTTCTGTGGTTCAAGAAGCTCTTCCTCTTTTCCAGTGTTAGATTGAAATATGTTTTATAACTTACTTATACATGGCTTGTCAGGCTGGATTTTATTTTATGCTTTATATGAGTTAAGCCACTTGCCTGTGGATTTTAAAAAACAGTGTTGGTTTGTGCATGTAGCTGTTTTGTCTCTGAGGCATGCTTCATTCACAATCAACTGTATTTTATCCTAAATCCAGAGTTTACGAGTTTAAAAAAAATTGATCTCTGATAAATATTTCAAACCTTATAAATAGCAGTAAATTGAAATCTTCAGAGGTAAACTATAAAACTTAAAACCTTAACTTAAAACTTAAAACCTTAATGGAGTCCTAACATAAGTAGCTTATGTTTCCTATTAAATTAAACAGTAAGTGGATACCTTTTAAATAAATCAGACTAGCAATAAGGGCTGAATGTTTCATTCTTATATATGCCAGTAGAACATTTTATGCTGCCAAAGTCAGGTATGGTTGGTTTTCTATGTAGCAGTGTGGTATGTATCCCTGACGAAACACATTATTGGCTGGGTAAGCTGATGAGAGGAAGAAAATCCTTTTTTAAACAAATGTTCTTGTTTTTATTCTGCCTCAGTGGTCACTAGAAGCAAATCTTTTCCCTTTTGGGCAGTAGTATTAGCCATACTAGGCACCAAGCAATTTGTGATGTAATAAGAAATCAGGCTTGATTGTGCCATTTTAATACTGGGCTGAACTGGGCCTACCTGCCTTCACATCAGTCTTCACCCTACTATCCCCACTTGAATGCTTCAGAAGCTGCTTTATGGTGGCTGGGATTCATGGTGGCAACTATTAAGTCCGGTGGGGGGAGAAGGATTGGTCATGTTGGGCATGAAAGGATCTGCAGATAAAGAGATGTTCCAGAGCAGACAGTATTTCTTTCTGGTTTAGCTAGCTAATGAAATCTGGGGAAGCCTTGTAAGCTGTGCTTCGCTACAGTTACACTGCTAGATTACTGTGGGACAGTGCTGGCCTGCAACACACTTCCTAGGAACTCTGGATTTAATAAACACAGTTGCTTTTCATTTGGAGGTCAACCTATCAAGTTAGTACCAGTTGTTGTCTAGTCAATGGCACTTACATTATACTGGTGTTTCCCTGTTAAGGGGAGGGCCTAGAGGCCAGTAATGATCACTTCCATTAGAATCATATTGTCATGGAGCCAGGAATACACAGGAACACAGCTTCTGCAGAGGGAGGGAGGTTTTGTCTCCTTATAGTTTCCCCATGATTTGCATGGATGTGTAGGGGTTGGTGGCTTATCAGGGATTCTGCCCATAGTTGGCTAAAGAGGAAGAACAAACCTCATGGCTCTCTTGCGCATTCCCCTCCTAAGAGAATGGTCGGGTGGAAACTAGTGAAAGAGGGGTGGAGGGCATAACGTAGACCAGGGATGTTCAACCTCTGGCCCACTGACCAAATGCAGCCCATGGAGCCACAGCATCCAGCCTGCGGGGCTGCCCACGGGTTGGGAAATTTGGTGGTGGGGGAGCAGTGGCATGTATGGTAATACTATCACCCCTCACCCATTGCCAAATTCCTCAGCCTCACTGAGCCAGATCAGGGCCCAGACCATGGCCCCTTCCCCTCATATGTGGCTAGATCGGGACTGAGATGACCCGCTTCTCTCCGCATGGCTGGATTAGGCTCCACCTGGTTGCTCCATGTGCTGGGTCAGGCCCACCAGCCAGATCTGGCCCATGGACTGACTGAGTACCGTCTGTTCAGCCCATGGGTGAAATAGGTTGGCTACCACTGGCTTATCTCGTTTTCTTTTCTTCTGAAACCTATTTGTAGATGTTTCCACAGTACTGGGCAGTTGGATTTAATACTCGTGGAAGAGAAAATGAAAGAAATTTAGGTGCTGCTTAGTTGAATCAGCTTAAAGATTCAACCATTCATTAGAAAAGTGGGCTCAATTTTGCACTCAGTAAAAATGCAAACAAGAGGCACTTCTCAGGCTTTTGATTTTTAACGTATTTACAACTTTAGCCCTTTAATTTGTCTTTGTAACTAGTTGGTTAATGTCATGACTGGAAGAAGCTTCATAACAAACTAATTCCATGTCAAGACTAAAGAAAAATTATCTGTTTTTTAAGCACAGCATTAGTGCGAGTGGCATTTTTAAAGTGGTTGTGGGTTTTTAAACTATGGTTTTACTCTGTTGCACTGTTAATGTAGTTTATGTTAATAAAGTTTTCTGTAACCAGTAGTTTTGAGAAGAACCTAAGGGTTTTATATTTTTTTTAATGAAAGACTTATTTTGATGGCTTTATAACCTGATGGCTGATACTAAAGCAACTTAAGAAAGCTATATTCTACTCTTAAAATCTGTAATCTTTCTGTGTTTAAAACTCTGCAGTCAGTTTTAAATTTAAACTAAACAAAACCCCATCTCTTAAATCACAAATACTTAGTATGCTAGGGGGTATATTTATGTAGACTAAAACTAAATTTAAAATAATTTTCCCCTAGTACAGATGCTTTTTTCCCCTATGCAACTTTGTTTACTTTCTGAAGAAGCAAACTCTTGAGAGAGTTATTGTGATTGTTAAATGATAACTGAAACTTTATACACATTTCTAAATGTCTGTAAATGTCAGACAAATGGACTTTTGCATTAGAAAAATTCAGGGTGGGGAGGGGGATAGAGGGGCTTTGCCTGGGCAGCAGAGAAAAATTGCAGTGGGCAGGAATGGTGGTAGCCCTCTGGTAAAGAGCGGTGACTGCAGCTCTGCCTTCAGTGCTGTGGACCAGCTGGTAGCAACCCATGCTTGGAGCAAAGTTCCCTTAAAGTATTCCCTTTCTAAACTCTACTTCTCTAGATTAGATAGATAGGTAGATATGAAGTTAGTTGACTTGAAAACCACTGACATCAACAGGTTTGTAGGGGGAGTGGGAGGAGAAAAATCAATGCTCATTCCCTTCCC